GTTTTCTTCTTCAAAATAGTTAGTGGCAACCTTTTTCACATGTGACCTCGCGTTGCCATAATAGAGTTTGATACCATTTATTCCTGACGATGGTCTTTTGTTCTAATAAATTTTTAAACTAATGGTTTTAAACATTCATCGCGATAGTATGCAGTATTAATACATGCTCTGGTTCCAGAATGCCTATAACCTCGAACACATGCTAATGAATGCTACAGGATGTTAATAAGCATCAGCCACAAAGCATCGGCAGGCGTACTGTAACTCTGCAATGTACTAGGAAACTCATGACCGGATTTTAGTCTGATTGGTTGGCGGCTGTCTCTCTTTGGTTTCATCTTCACTTTTGGACAGCAGCATCTTCCTGAAAAGCTATTTTATTGAATTCACTTTCTCTTCGTTTTTGTGTGCTATTCCTCCTCGTTTACGGTCCAGAACGTACGTAATCCGTATGTCTCAACAGTACGTGTATGTTCTTTTATGGGATTATGTTTTCCAAGAAAGTTTTTAGATTTTACCATGTTTAGCCGCTACGGTCCAATTTTTTCTAGTAATTAAGAAGCATTCACGTAAAATCGAGGAAAGAAGAACAGAGAAAATGCAGCTAGATTCTTTTCACCATATGGATCCTAAAATAAACGTCTGACCGAGACTCAACGCGATCGCAGCACGATAGTTTCAGAAACATGGAATACTGGAAATATCAGCAAGAACGGCAGATCACGATGGACCTCGAAGACGTACAATCAAGCTGCACGATTATTAACTGCGCAGTTCCTCGGACAACATACTATTGTCGGGAAAAAAAAGAATGGACTTGGATATTTTTCGAATAACGTTTGACAGAAAAATGATAGAGACTTGCGATATTCACTAACTGAAAACAAGGACCTGACCGCATCTTTTTACCACAAAATTTATTTTGAAAATCTTCTTCATCTGCAGACGATCTTTGGAAAAAATATGTTATTACTAACAGTTTAAAATAAAAATATTTAATCTTTTCGCTTTTTACTGTTTACTATGCACGAAGTGGAGAATATGTAATAAATCTTTTATTTCTTCCTTTTACAATTCACTCAGAAAACAATCTATTTTTGCTGAAAAGTTTGTCGGAAATCCTTTTGTGAAATCTTTTTTAATCTTATTTAGTAGATTTCTTATAATTACGATATAAAATAACATAATTACTCTACATTCTGAAGTTTTGAGCTGGTTCTGTCGTTTTATGAGTATTATAATTATAATATTACGTGAAAACAACCTAAAAACCCCAGTTTCTATAAAACTCAGTTTTTATCAGATCTTATTAAACTGTTCCTAAAAACAAGCATTATCACGAGATTCAGTATGATCTATTACATATGTTCCATGAGATCTCACCGTATTCAAGTTCCCGGATGCCAGTCCTTGAGTACAGTGGAACTGAACCACTGAAAATCAACGCCTCGCTTGACTCCCATTTGAACAGGACATTTTAGACTACCTACGAACGAGTAGAAGCCAAAATTTAATAAATCTTTTATTTTTCGCTTTTACTTCATAGTTATTGCTTAAAAACGTTTCGATTAGTTTTAATTAATAGAAACGTTTAGTTAAGCAATAATAAAACTACGCAGTAATAGAAAGGAATAAAGGATTTATTAAATATTCTCAACTTCGTACATGGTAAACAGTAAAAAACCAAAAAATCAAAATATTTTTATCATAAGCTGTTTAGTAATAACATAGTTTTCTAGAGATCCTCTACAAAACCTACTTTAGAAGAAGATTTTCAAAATAAAGTCGTGGTGGAAAGATACGGTCAGGTCTAGGGCTGCGCCAGTTACCATTAGCGTTACAGTAACTGTTGAACAGTTGACGTTCTTGGTAACGGTAACGGGTAAGCAATTATCGTACAAGTAACGATAACGACCAGTGAGGGTGAGGGTGAGGCTACGAACTTTCACCCTCATCCTGGATACCTAGATATTTAGAGATTTGACTCTTGAGAGATATACTAAACAGTTACCGTTACTTGTTAACTACTTACTTAACTGCGTAACTGCCTACCTACGTAACTGCTTACCCGTTACCGTTACCAAGAACGTCAACTGTTCGGCAGTTACAGTTAACGAGTAACGGTAACTGGTAACTGTCACTGCCTAGTCAGGTCCTTGTTTTCAGTTGGTGAATATCGCAAGTCTCTATCCCTTTTCTGTCAAACGATATTCAAAAACATCCAGGTCCATTCTTTTTTCCCTGAAAATACTTTGTGCACAACTGTATAGGACATTATTCGACTGAATCGAATTTATCTCATATTTTCTAATAATGGTTCTCCCAATGGTCTTAGAGGAGGAATCCTTTCTACAGTCAACTTTGAGATTTGAAGTACTGGTGGCCGCTTGCTGATCGGTTCACAAGCTTTTGGTCGATTTGGATATCATATCCAAATCGATATAAAGCTTGTGAATCGCTAATTGTTTCACCTTACCTTTTCTATTCAGCTTCTGACATATGGGTATGAAACCGTTACTGGAAAAAATATTTGAATTATAAGAGTGAAGTGTATATATATAATATATATATACGTTGTATACGTCATTTTTTTCTTCAGATTCTTTCCAACATTCGATATGTATGGCCTTTGTTTTTTGTGTTGTTTTGTTTGAATTTAATGCATTCTTATCAGGCAACGTGGGAAACTATTCACCTACAGAAGAAACGATTTAAACTAAAAACAAATAGACATTTTGTTGGATTTTGTTTTCTTCGAGATTCTTTCTTTCAGTTCTGTCTCAAAAGATTTACCGCGTCCTTGAACTTTCAAAAACAAAATACTGAGAAAAAAGTGCTGCTTACAAATAAAAGACTAGGCATGGTCACGGTGAAATATTTTCATCGTAACCGGTCTACATTAAGATTGTACCAGTTATTGAACTACATATTCCGAAACCTAAAAATCTGAATAACTGTCGTCAGAGCGTTACTCCATTAAGATTGTACGTTTTAACTTAGCAACCACAAATTATTATCTAAAGTTAGTTTAAACGAAGTCCGCAAAAAAGCTTGAAATCTCTATAGCAGGGAACGAAAGACAAGATGGAGGATCAGAGAAACCCAGCAAAAGTAAGTATATAAACAGTGGTATTACTGCATGGAGTGCTCGCGAGCAGTTACGCAGACGTTGAATGGATAAATATTTTAACTTGTAAATTCATAACTTAGACTTTTTCTACAGACGTAGGTTAGTGCTAAAGATCATTTAATTTGTCAATTGGGTGGTCACAAATCATTAACACGAAAAGTTGTCTAAGGTCGACTGAGTATGCTCAGATAGTTCAAATCTTTTTACTGTTACGCCTGAATAAAACGGTCAAAAAAATTGAAGTAAAGTTTATGGTGGATTGTGTGTGGAAAATGCGTTTATTCTCTATTTAAAGTGTAATGAACTGCTTTCTTATTGAAAAATTTCGCTGTCTCCTCTCCGATAGCTACCGGACGCTAACATACACTATGAAAAAAGGAATCCACAGAGAGGTACGTTTGTGTGGGTGATAAATGGGGCACTTGTGCACGTCACATACAGGTAGCTTTGAGGTGCCCCACCATGGTTCGTCTTTTTCAGCAAAAAAGTGCTCCATAGTGCGTGCACAGATCACTGCGGACGGTTTTAAAGTGCCCTATGTGATGACTGATATTTCCTCCAATTATAAGTCCTTGAACTTATTGTATGCGTGCGCTATAATACGTATTTTATATATATCATTCTTTTATTCGACTACTTTTTAAGAAAAAACCACAACCTACTATAACCAAAAAATCCTCTATTCTATATATGGGCAAAACCAGCGAAAAGTGGACATGGCTACCGTCTGTTCGTCTTGAATTTCTCGCTACCGTTATTTTTGTGGATAGCTCTTTTTCATTTGAATTCATGAAGAAGACTTTGCTCTTTAAAACTATAATTACTTAAAACTAATTAGCCAATTAGTTAATTCATTATACAGTAATTAGCGAATAGCGGATCGAAAACTAGTTGATTTGCTCAGAAAATTTCAGAGAATGTTGCTATTACCAGCGCGCATCTATTGTAAAATTTTCAGCAAAATCGAAGACATTTGACATCATCTGCCATGCCAAAAATGGTTTTCTAGAGGTCTCCTGGAGACCTAGCTAAAAATCTTATATTTCGTTACCATCTCGAGATCCTTATGTATCATTTTTATTAAGTAGAAGTCTTACAGGTGACAAGAATGTTATAGCAATGGTTTTTTCCGTTTTGATTTTGTACTCTGTCACGTCCGCAACGACGGCTTAAATGAATTTCAGCGCCAAATACACGAATGATTTAGTAAAATCGTTGCTGCTAGTTTTGTAGCCCGAAGTCTCCTCTACAACATGCAATTTGAAAAACCTGCGACATACTTTATCAACTTCAGAATTTCGAGAGACAGTCGCACATACTAAACAAAGCTTGTCTTTTTCAGCCGCGTCCGCAATGACGTAGTTTTTCGTGAGAAAGGTAATCTTAATAAATATCCTCAGAACTCATTTTTTCGTGGCTTCGTTAGCAACTTGATATACGTTTTCCTGTATAAATAGGAACACTAGAAAGTTTAACACTTCAGATATACAGTGAGTCAAAGTTTACGAACGTCACGTCTGCGACGCTGGTTTTACCCATATATTCTACTATATGCCAAAAGACGAGAACCAAAAGACAAAGTAAAGAACAACAGAATATCAGAACGACCAAAAAAAGAAAGAACAGAGTAAAACGAAATAAAATACATATATACGAAGATAATCTGTACACAGTGGAAGGAGAGATTGTGACAAAGAATCGTCACACCCTATTTTGTAGCAAACCCAAAATGCGGATACATTTTGCTTTTCTTTGCTGATTCGACTATTTCAGTGGTATGTCAATGTAAATCTCTACAGAATATGAGTTTTTTGACTTGCAGATCTCTGGCCATATGTTGCTTATTTGAATTTGCCAGCTCTATGCATATATGGTCGTTCTTCGTAAGACCAGTTTTGATATTTTAGGATTCTCCTGTGTCACTTACGTCCATTCGCAAAACTGTACAATGGAATCAAAAAGTGTAAATCATTGGCATTCTATGATGGGATCTCCACCTGAAGATTTAGATCAATGGGGTACTGAGGATAATTTTGAGGATGAATTTGACAAAATATTGAATAGTCTGGATGACAAGACGGACCCTAATTCAGTCACTACTAATGACGTCAGTGTTCTCATTAGTGAGTCAAGTTTATCAAAATCAATGGCTTCTAGATCCATCGATCCAGCTGATGTCGTTCAAAATAAGAAAAGTCCAAATATTGCCGTTACTGTCAGTATTCTGAGTAATAATACCACAGCAGCCTATCAGCCTCATCCTGTTAGTTCCAGTAACGGATTGTTATTATCCGGTAAATTACGGTGCCATCTCTTTGTTAAAGCCTTATGGTAATAGATTACAGTTCTTTTAGGCTCAAACGTTGTGCCACCATTGCTTCCATCCAATTTTTTGGGGTCTCCGTATATCAAATGTCAACCGAATGAAAAACAACGTTTTCGAACTCCAGGTGAAAAAACAAAATCAAAACCTATTGGGCCAAATTCTAAAGAGAAAGTACAAGTTAATGTTCCTCACCTTTTGCACAGTGCATGTCAACAATACTGTGAATTTTGTTATGAACGGAAACCAGATCAACATTATGTGACGGTAGAAGTGAGTTAAACAATATTTACTTGATTGAGACCTGTGTTTGCAAGTCAGACGAGAAAACTACGAGAACACATTTTTACATATAGTACTCTGATAGTGACCACTGTCAATGCTTAATAGATAAAATGGCTGGAAATAAAATATGATGTTAATGTTAATGTGACCTCTTTTTGGATCTTAGATAAGTAACACGTATGCAATACTTATAGGTCTGTAGTGCGCTCAGTGATTATATTAAATGGCGAAATATAGATGCTTTACACCTTGGCGTATGTCTTTATACAGTGAATCGTCAAAGTGTACATCCGAATACTCTGTTGCCATTAAAAGAAATTGAAGACAGTGTGTGTTATGATGAAACAATAAGAACGACATTTTATAAACTATCACCACCGGTAATTGGTACTGAATATCTCAGGTAAGATATTAATAAAAAAACTCGTTCAGAGATCATTATCGAGAGGCCAGATGTACGAATTTGGATAAAAATATATTTTCAAGTAACATTTGGTTCACGAACGTAAAGATAATGAAGTATCAACACTCTCTGACTTTAACTTTTCCTTTAAGTTTCAGGAAAAGAACAATTCGGGTCTGTTAAGAAAGTTCTTCAATTAGCCAGGAAAACATTCTTAAAGAAAGATTCGGTTTTGGACAGGTTGAAAAAGTACTGACTAGCTTGGGTGTCTGTATTTGTTTGAAACTTGACATCAATGTCACTTATAAACTTGATTGTTTTCGCGCTTTATACAGGTTAAAACTGGGTGTAATTAGTGCGTATAAACGTGGTGTTGTTAGTCAGCAATTTGCGGAAAAACAATATAATCAATGTGTATTACGAATGAGCTTCTTTGAAAAAAAAGATGGAAAATATCATGAAGTTTCCGATCCATTATATTCAAACACTATAAAACACCGTACGTATCCGAGCATTTGATTGCAGTATTGAGAACCATTGAAATGTTTTCATATAAATTTTAGATATGAGAACGTTGATATTTAATGAATCATCGCCCGATAGAGGATGTTATTATGGTGGACAAGAGCTAAAATTAGGTTTTGGTCGGGGTTATGCTCCAGCAAAGAAGAGTAAGTTTATTGGAAAAGTCTCAAAGCTGTGTGTCTGTTAGGGAAACCGTCAAAAATAAGTCTACGCGTAGATATAGATCAATATCATTCTCTTTTCTTTCTCTGGTTTTGCTGAATGAAAGACATCGGATACATTTCTACAGAGTAAAGTGTCTAATTGGAACCGAAACCAGATTTGTCTAACTTATAACTTTAGTATCTCAGTGAGGTTTGAATCGATTTTCACCGAATTTGGGACTTTTGTAGCTGAAAGTCTTGGCTATTTAATGATCTAAAAACTATTCTGAAATTCCCATTGAAGACGAATCTCAGTGAGACTTACTAAGGAGATGGTCCTTTTGGTTCCAATTAGGCTCTGTGCATAATGGGAATCACACACCGAAATGTGTGTCTAACTGGAATCATCAGGTTCAAATTACACGTGTTTGCAACGTTTTAGTAAAACCTATTTTCTACAACATTTCATAGGATATTGTAGGAAATATTTGACAGAAATTAATTCACTAACTGTTCTGTACAGAATGAGCCAATTTCGAGGTTTTTCCGACCAATTGGTAATAATGTAGTCCCTGAGTAATGAAAGCACATGTAATACATAGTTTAATGTGAGCATTGTACAGAAAGAAGATACTAAAATCATGCAGTTTCAATAAACCAGACGTAAATTTTGTCAACTTCTTGTAAAACAACATTCATATAACAATAATCACATACTCGAGATCCAACAGATATTGTGGGAACATTATAATTACAAGCATAACATTTGTACTATTCGTGCAGATTTGGAATAATGATAATAACTTAGATTAGAAGTATATGAATTTTCACATTTGTAAGATCTTTGCTGAATCTCACCAACTGGTTGTATTGGATAGTATGTAGCTAGTATGATGTGATAACGGGAAAATATCATTGCGGGCAGTTTTAACTGATATTGGATATTGATATGTTAAAGTTGTCCACCAACAGTATCAATATCACCTTCACAAACTTCACTCATCCCATCAAATATTTATGCCTCAATCTTCTTAATCATTTAATTCATCATATTCACACGCAACAACTTCATATCAACATCCAAAATCGATTCAAACCTCACTGAGATACTAAAGTTACAAGTTAGACAAATCTGGTTTCGGTTCCAATTAGACACTTTACTCTACCATAAGTAAGATAATAAAATCGGCGCAATTGAGACAGAAGAAAAATAACGCGGCATGTTTGAAGTCCTAAGTTGAACTATGGTATTAGAAAAACAATATATGATAAGGCGAAAGAAGCGGAAAGAACGAAAGGAAAATATCGAGTTTAAAATGCCAAATTTAAATCGAACATGTCAGATATAACGATACATATCCCGTTGCGGCACTTTTTGAAGAAATGTACCATTTTTCTGATTTATTAGGGGCTGTCCTTTTGCGTCCTTGGTCTTCCGGACATCCGACCAAGTGACGCGATGCCCGGAATCGGGTCTATATAGCATAAAATCGTTTTTCTGGATGTTCGAGATGAATGTCGTCCGGATGTTCGTAATGAAAAGTGTGGGGTGTTTGGAACGAGTTTCGGTGTCTGTTTTTTAACATAGAAATTTTTTTTGGCTATCGTTTCGAACATTCGATCTTTTTGCATTCCGATCTTCGGGACTTTTCATTCCGAACATCCGGACTTTTTCAAAAAAACCGAAGCTCGGAACGGACTACTCCATCGGATGTCCGTAAGAAAACGCAAGGACGAAAAGGGACACGGCCCTGTTTTTTCGTGAAAAAATTAATTTAAATCGATTTTCTTTTAATAAAACCTATTTAAATTTAGCTACTTTTTCAAAATTCTTTTAATCTGTTTAAATTAATTTTTAAAAAGATTTATTTAAATTGATTCTGCATAACATTTTGTGTGAAAAATCTATTTAAATTTACTTTTGTCTCAATAAATCTGGTTTTAGTTTTTTGGGAAAATCTATTTAGTGCATTTTATCTTTTATTTAGAGAAAAAAAGAACAAACTTTTTCCAGAACTTGATCATTAACATTTGATTTGTTTAAGCAAATATTCTCTTCGATAGGAAAAAAATGGCAGATAACTCAAAAACTAGACGGTGCCTTTTCGAAAAAATAGTCTATCTTAAAGTCCGAGTCCAGTACTCTACATTCGTTAAAAATTGAAGGAAGGGTGCCTTTTACATTAAGGCTATTTTAGTTAGCTAACTTGTGCAAAAATCAAAAATATTTCTAGTGTATCGTTTTGCTATCGTTCAAAAGAAAAAAATCGTCATAATGCGTTTATTCATTAACTGAAAAATGTGATTGTTACCTGCTTTTAGATACTCGTATTATTGTCAAAGACGTAGCCAATAACTGGAACGTACAAATTCATTTTGAAATTTTTAAAAATGAAAATAAAGAAAATTATTATAAATTTAAAATGCCACGGTATCAAACAACTGATCGAAAAGAGCAGAAGATAGTATTTATTTGTGTTTTTGTTGATAACGAACAAGTTGCAAGAGTAAATTTTACTTATATACCTCATGGTAAGAGAAATCATTTCCAGTTAAACTTACAAATATACGATCATTCCTATACGATATACGATGCACGATAGTGTACGATTTGAGACTTTGCAAGGCTATCTTGGATTTGATTGATATAAGAGAAGTTCACGAAGTTTCATACCACTTTTTCCTCGAAACATACATGATTATAGGTAGTTTTTAATGCTGATCACGAATTTGGTATCCATTCGTTCCCTTAAGAGCTTTCAGGACCTATGACTGAATTCGGGATCTCAAGAAAACAATCACAACAAAGTTTCGTCTAAGCAAATTCTTCCGATTGGTTGCGGGATCTTATTCCGCAGTTCAAGTCACGTTACGCTACACGTAATCAGAATAAAATTCCTGCTCGCCGGAAAAGTATACATGCCCTAAATACGTCTTTTATAAGGAATGCATCGCAGTTTTGGAATGAACTAACGCCTGGTTTGTGTCCGTTCTATCTTGAACCCGAAAAAATTTAGAACTAAACTGATGTCCCAACTATTGTCTAATAAAGGTTATTTTAAATTTAAGCTACCTATAATACTTAACAAGACATATTTGACATTGACTATGCGAGATGTCGGCTGAGTTTTAGTCAGGTGAATGCTGATCTATATGCACGCTCACTTGTACCGTCTCCTAACTGTGCTTGTGGACTCAGTGAAACTGGAGTCCATTTTTTCTTACATTGTTTGTTACACAATAGCGCTCGCACAGACTTACTTCATGTTCTAACAGGAGTTTTAAATAACAATAAGATTACTATCTCTTTCTCTAATAAAACCTCTAACTACTCGAACATTTGTTAGAACATCCAATAGATGTCTTTGGCAAATTCCAAAATTTAAACGTAAAAACACTTCGTCATCTTTTCTACTAAAAACTGTATCAGACTGGAACGTTTTGCCACGAAGGATAATTGCTGCTTTTTCTGTAGATTCGTTCAGACGCGCGGTGTGTAAATATCTATTTAGTGTAACTTAATGTAGAATATTTCAGTATGATTTATAAGCCATAATTTTCTCTTGTTTTTTGCTTTTTGTTTTATTCTTATATTCGGTTAGTTTCGTCAAAGTTTCACTAGTTAAAACTTTTTGTCTATCTCCATTGTCTTTCACATCTATGACAAAAATAAATTTGATTGATTGATTGATCATATTTTACTACCTGATCCATGTATGACTACCCTATCCGTGTCACAACTGGGAGATATCTACTTAGTTATCATCAGTTTTATTAAATGTACCGGTCGTTTTCAGCCGGCTTGATGCTGTTTTATTTCGTTTTCTTGCAACTCAACTATTCACCCTGGCAGACAGATTATTCCCACTCTCCTCGCTCTCTTCTGTTTAGATCATCGATTTAGATTAATTTCTGAATTGTATTCTTATTCTTATTCTTATTTTGTTCTTTATTCTTACTATACAGCATTTTATTACTGTTTTCTATATGTATTGTTTTAATGATTTTCTCATGTCAATTAGTTTGTTTTTTTGTTTCCTTTTTCTCTATCTTACTTTGTTTTCAGTTTTTTGTTCGATCATATGTTCTGAAAGCTCTTAAGGGAACGAATGGATACCAAATTCGTGATCAGCATTAAAAACTACCTATAATCAAGTATGTTTCGAGGAAAAAGTGCTATGACACTTCGTGAACTTCTCTTATATCAATCAAATCCAAGACAGCCTTTCAAAGTCTCAGAGCGTACACTATCGTGTATCGTACACACAAATGACTCAACAGCCAAGCGGAAAATACAAAATAATTCTTAGTAAACTCGGATCTTCATGGGTCGTGTCAGAAAAATTGACCAATCTAGCGTTCTATATCCTAGCTGCTGTGCACAAGAGTCTTATTTATATCCAAATGAACTAAAGGAGAAAAGTCTATCATTTTTTACCCTATTTCAGATATATTACCGAATCATCTGTGTAATCTAACTGATCCCTCATTAGTTTATCCAACAACTACCGTTTTATCATGATCTGAATCATCAACATGTGTAGCCAAAAGAAGAATCAAAAAATGATTACGTAATTTTTATTGGCATTCACACATGATGCATTTTACATGACCATTTATTCTTTTTCTTTTGAATCTAATTTTTTTTAAAAATTTTCCATTTTTTAGTTTTACCTTTTTAAACTCGCATTATTCTTGTTTGTTTTATATTTTTGGTACTTACTTGTTGTAAAAACACAGACTTGTAAACTAAACTTTCACATAAAAGGAGATGGGGAACTAACTGGCTAAAGCAGGAATAGCCGGAAGTCTTTTAAAATGGTTCGCTTCTTATCTTTCAAATCGTACACAAAAAGTTTCTGTGGACTCAGTTTTTTCTTCTTCTGTTCGAGTGTCGTCTGAAGTTCCTCAGAGTAGTATTCTTGGTCTGATTTTATTTCTCATCTTTATAAATGATCTTGTACCATCTCTTAAATCTTCTCTTCTCTCTTGTCTTTTTGCTGATGATGTCTTCTGTGTTACAAAGCTATTCGAGGCTCAAAAATGTATCAATGAGCTTGTTCTCTGGTGTGATATGAATGAGGTCAAATTAAACATAAACAAATGTCTCTGGATTTTATTTTCAAACTCTAGTAAAATGCTTCCTTCACTCACTCTTTCAATCAACAACGTTGATATAGAAAGAGTTTTGTCTCTTAAGCTTCTTGACATGATTATTTCAAATAATTTAACGTGGAAGGCTCACATTGAATATGTGTCAATGAAATCTCGTCAAGTGTTAGGCTCTATCTCAAGAGTCTTTCGTGACTCGCCCTCATTTCTTCGTTGTCATCTGTATAAAACTTGTGTAAGAACCGTGCTCGAATACGGTTGTTATCTACGATTCCATATTTACTTCTCATCTCGAAATTTTGGATAAAATTCAGCGCCTTGCTAGCAGGATCATTTCACAAGATTTTAGTAGTTCTTCTTCTCTACTCAAACAATTTAAAATTCAACCACTTTCAAACAGACGTCTATATTATCGCCTTCTCTATTTCTATAAAATTTTCAGTCACAAAAGTCCTCTCTCCTCTTTTGATCTGATTTTACAGTCAACAACGCGTCAAAGTTCTCGATTAGGCCATGATAGTCGCGTGTTTATTCCTCGTTTAATGTCAAAATCTGCATCTAGCTCTTTTCTTTCACGAACATTAAAAGATTGGAATGAACTGCCTTCTGTTTTAGACTGTCAAACTTCTTTAGCCACATTTAAAAATATGCTGAGACAGGCTTTTAATAATGTTTATTTTTAAATTTTTAGTTTTCGGTTATCACAGGGTATCCACGGATGCCATAAGTCTTTTGTTCTTTTTTGTGATATCCTGCACTTTAGTAAAAATAAAATCTTATCTTATCTTATCGATTGTCGGTAAAAAAAGAAGAATGGACTCGGATGTTTCTTGAATTACGTTTGACCGTTTGACAGAAAAGTGATAGATGCTTGCCCTCTTCACTAATCGAAAGCTAGGACCTAACTGCATCTTTTCACAATGAAAGTCATTTTTAACATCTTTCGCTAAAGCAGGTTTTTCAAGAGATCTTGGAAAGCCAGGTCATTTGCTCAAAAACTTGAAATACAAATGGTTTGATCTTTTTTCATGGATAAATAGAAAGTCTGCACATACCACCATACTCTCATCAAATTTGGTTCAGCGCGGCAAAACCACCTAATTCTTTGCAAAGTTCATTGGGCCGTTTACTGAGTCCGTACGAAGCTCCGGTAACTATGTAGATTACAAGAAAGCCTATGACGTAGTCTGGCATATGGGTCTTATCGTGAAGCTGTATAGAATGGGTATGCCATGGGAACTAACTAATTCTTATATGCAAAACATGTGACAATGACGAAAAATATATATTTTTGTCGTCTCTGTTAGCGCAGTACGCTCTAACACGTTATCGTCTTCTTTTCTTCTTTTGGTTTTCTCTCCTTATACAGTCATTGTACACACGCGCCTATTATTCAGTTTTTCTTACGTCCTTAGTACATAGGTATTATGGACTTTAGTTATTTTTCTTTTTTTCGTACAGATACGACGGACTAGCTATTCATTCCTTTTCTTAGAAATTTCATCATCTTTTGTCCTATATATAAATTTCACAATCTTTTGTCAGATATACGAGTTTCACCATCCTTTCTTATCGTCGTCCATTTTTTTGTCATCATTTATTCTATTCACATTTTTTAAATATACATTTAACAGTTCCAAGAGGTTTCATCAGATTTTCAAGAGTCAGAAAGCCTACCGTTCACAGTCTCTCTCTGCTTCTTATATACAAAAGAAGAATCTTCTTCAATACTTTTTGTACATGCCTTTATTTCCTACTTTAGCTGCTGACGATCGGCTTGAGCAATCGTGAAACGCGTACAGCCACGCTCGTTTTTCTCCCTTCTTCATTTCCACATGTCATTAGCACGCTTGTCTTGTTGTATAGATACTCACAGCCATCTTCCCTCACCCTCCCCTCGCACACACACAGTTCTACGTTTGCATTCTTATATTTTGAGAGATATTTCTCTCTAATCGTTTTGTCTTTCAGATGAATAAACGCACATCTATGCTGACTGTCCGATATATATGTTATGAGCGTAAATACTGCAGTTTTTACGTGAAGGGTTTTTTTGTGCTTTCCACTCGAGCAAATTGTTTTCAACCAAAAATGATGTATAATTTGTGAGTTTTATAGAGACAATATACCACCATTTCCACATTGAAATGTGAAAACGGTAGTATATTGTTTTCCTCATAATCTTTGTCGATCAATATTTCCGTACATTTGGTAGATCCTATGCAAGAGAAAACTAAAAGCATTCTTGCTGAGTTATGGCGATTAATAGCAAGCTCGCGAGAAAATCAAGACCTACGATCACTACTTCGAAAAACGTTTGTTTAAAAGTGTACCTGTTTGATAAATTTATCAGTATATTTAATGGTTAGATAAGTTTATTTAATCAGTTTTTCGGTTTGAAACCCGGAAGACCGAGAAACTGGTTAAATACCATTTGTTTGTATTTAATACCAGTCATAAAGTACTTTTACTTGAAAGTATTTACATGATCATTGTTCTCAGAGTTGGTCGACAATCGAAGCGTTAGAGTAATTTCGATGCACACGCAAATTTTTGACATCACCCAGATGTAACAGGAGAAGGAGTTTTACCATTGTGACACCGCTAGATGCTACCTTGCCAAGGTTTCTTAATCGGTCTTAATATTTTGTCTAAGAATTGTGATAAACGTGCTACAGGAGATTTTATCATCTATTGGTACCAGTAGTGCGTCTGCTTTTTGGCCTTTTGGCTTATGATATACTAGAACACAATAAAATAGTATTATCGTCGATCTGGCTCTTAGCGGGATTATGACATCCTTCCATTGAATAAGTGAAATAATATTTTTCCGAGCAAAGTCAAGAAGTATTTCTTTTTCGTTATTGCCTTTTTGTTGTCTTATTGAAATTATTAATCAACACTTTGCAGACTGGAATGAATTCGCATGGAAATGCAAGAATTCGTAAATGAGGAGCTACGATGATTATCCGAAGTTGAAAAGAGTTGCCATATTGGTTGAAGTGCATGTAAATGGCACATTGCATTCAATGTACAAACGAAGTCGTTTTTATGTTTAATGTAAGAAGTCATTCAAGACTAGAAAAATAGTCCTCCTCCAACTAAAACACTCCGAACTACATGCTAAATACAATCTGTGCAGATTCCGGCGAATCATTACGAATTTGTTCAGCGTGGCATTTTGTGTGCAATGGTGAAATCTTCTAGGATGAGCTCACGAGGGAACTTTTTCAACTGTCAAATCGTTCTTTGTCCGAAGCCTAGTGGGTTATAGGTAATCGAGAGTGCTGATTCCGAATATCACTATCCTACCTGTCGCTAGGGCTTCCAACGCGAGATATCGATATTTTACTGGTTTTCCCTGCAGGACCACGGTTCTCCAGCAAAATCAAATTTTTGAATTTTGACCTGAAACTTAGCACAATGAAGGCCTCGGTTAAAATAGTTTATAAAAAAAGGCTTCACAATTTTTGTGCAAAGTCGGTTCGAGATACGGATTTTTTAAACTACAAGTGCTTTTCTACGTGTATTGCAAAAACATGAATATTTTGAAAAATACATATCTCGAAGCGAAAATATTCATGTTTTTGCAATACACGTACAAAAGCACTTGTAGTTTAAAAAAAACTTTAGTTTTCTAAGGGCCTCGGGCATCAAGTTCTTTCGAATTTTTTGCGAGGTTAGCCACCTAGTATGAAGCGAGAGACACATATTCTGGTACTTTCAAGTACGGGCTATCCGAATCCGCTTTCAAAAGTTTCGGCCTCACAAAGGATCTCTGGAAAACTCACATGGGTTCTCTAGAAAACCTCTAAATATTTTGAAATTTTTTTTAATTGCGTAGTAAGAAAGAGCGGAAAATTCTGAACAAAATCATGTATCGATCATACTTTCTCGGCTCTGTCAAAGGCGAAAATTCGGCGACTCAAAAATCAGGTTTTTTTGGAAAACCATTTTCTCTTGAAAATCTTCTGCGGTCAAAGTGAGAACCCATGTGAGTTTTCCAGAGATCCTTTGTGAGGCCGAAACTTTTGA